TACAGTAGAGTCCATACCGCATCTTCGTGTGTACATCTTTGTGGAAGAGAAATAATGGAGACAGCCGCGACCTATTTTCTCGCGGCTCATCAGGTGAACTCTAATGAGTTCCACCGTATGTCTAGCGTTTATTTTAGTTTCCGTACAACCGGCTTCGCCTGCTGCGCGCGTAAGACACGACAAACCCGCTCGCGATGCACGTTTCGAACGGCGCTGCGTGCATCGTAATCAGGTTGGTCTTCAGAGTGAAGAGGGGAGAGAGGTGAATCTCATTTAAGTTCATTAGACCTGGACGGATCGGTTAGCATCGTAGATGCCGCACGGACTTTTTTTTTTTTTTTGCATTCTCCGTATTCATTACTTCAATGCATTTCGAGGTTTTTTTTGTTTTTTTTTGTAAAAGCTTCGTTTGTGTTTTCAACAGGCTGCTGTGAAGAATTCGTCTGATTGAAAAAGTGTTTCGTTCACGTGTTTCGTTCTCAGGATCCCTGAGTGCCACTCAGGCAACCTACGCGTCCATTGTTTCAATAAAATGCAGTAAAAGCAACAATAAACGAGACAGCGGGCTCAAAACATGTTGTTTTCTAGTCCCAGATTAAAAGTAAATACATAAATAGACATAGGCACGGCACAGACAAGAAAGAAGCATGCCGGCGCAGCTTTCAGAATGTACGCTGGCTTTTCCAGTTTCTTTTCTTCCTCTTTTTCTTTTTTTGCTCTTGGGAAGAGGGGCACTAGAATTTACCAACAAGAGCAAATTTTCGATTTATTGACAATTGTGCCTTTCTTTTTTCCTTAATGTTTTAACACTATAGAGGCCCATATACCAACCTATTTTTTTTTTCTCTCGCTTAGCTGTCTTCGTATACCTGCAAGCTCATCTGCCTAATTAAATTGGTCTCCCTTGCGGGCTTTATTTTGTTACCGTTTTCGAGTGAGGGTTCATCAAAATGTAAACCCCATCAACAGAACCACCTCCCGTTCTCAACTTCTTTTCCGGCTCATGTGTTTTTTTTTTTTATAAACACTTTGACCACGACTAACGAGCGCACCTTGATAACGCTCTCCCTCTTCACATGGTCCCGTTAAACCTGTTTGATTCTGAAGTGAATCGTCTGAATGATAAACAAACAAAATATAACTGGTTATCGATTCGAAGAAGATTAAACGCGACGTTCCACGCGCTTTAAGTATTTTTCGGCACTTATGTGGCGACGTGAGAAAATTAGGGATTGAGACATTTAACGTTTGTTTTTTCATTTTTAAACTGCACACCGAGATATAAAGAATGTCACGATGGGGGAGGCTTCCCGGCGATTCTGTATTCCTGGTACACAGTGCATCATCCTCAACAGTTGCCCTCGGAGCTTCTGCTGGTCCACGATGTTTAACGTCGTAGTTTCAGAAACTGGTAGCGTTCCGCTCCTACTGACCTTCACGTCCCTGTACCTCTTTCTTTCTCTTTTTTTCTTCATTGTATGTCTTTTACTTCTTTCTATCTCGCCATTTCTCGCTTCTTCTTGCTGCCTTTATCTCGCTCTCTACTTCTTTATATTTCTTTGATTATCTCTCTATCTCTCCAACTTTTTCTGTCTGCCTTCAGTTTTCTCTGTCTTTCTTTAGGGCGCATTTTACTCATTCCCTCTTTCCATCCTACGTACCGTCACATCGGTCCTCCTGGCTCCAACGCCCGCCTCACTGTATTACAGTGGCTAGCGTGCTCGGCTGCTGAACCGAAGGTCGCGGGTTCGAATTCCTGCTGCGGCGGCCGCATTTTGATGGCGACTAGAAGGTAGAGGTGCGGTGCAATGTCAGTGCAGGCCAAAGAACGCCAGACGGTCAAGATTTCCGGAGCCCTTCACTACGATACCTCTCATAACCAGACGTAAAACCCTTCACTTTATTATATTATTATTATTATTATTATTATTATTATTATTATTATTATTATTATTATTGTTATTATTATTATTTCTAGGCCTCCCCTTCCCCACGTGGGAGCGGCCCACGATCCTCCTTTTGTAAAACAGGGTTGTAATCCTTCAGGACTTCAATAAAGCTTTTATTCCGTCCATCCGTTCGTCCATCTATTCATCCATACATCCATCTCTCTGACACCAGCCTTCTGCTTTTTGTGCTTCACGTAAAAATTCTCTGTCCCAAGATGTTATCTTTTCTCTATTTTTATTTCTTTTTAGCTCTCCTCTCTCTGCACTCATCCTCTCCCCCATGCCACCGTCGCTGGGACTTTTGCCTTCATTTTGAGGGGACCAGACGTGACCAGCGCTATTTGACCAAACTCTGTGGTACGTTCCCGTTCATAAACTGACGATGGACTTCTGGTGACCATGGACACTTCACGGTCGGCTATAACCGTTTCACTGGTTACGTCCGGAACTTGCGAATGTCCTTTTTTTCATGTCCTGTGGGGTACCAAGAAAACCTTTACGATAACCTTTGAGGTGATGTCATCATCAATTCAAAGGTTAAGGGGCACGAGATTACTTCATCTCGAAGGTTACCTTAAGTGAGGATGTTACCGATCAATGCAATGCTGACAGCTTCGCTGGTTTTGCCAAGAAGATACAAAATGCTCACGTATAAATAAAATAAAAAAATATAATTAATTGTAGCACAGTTTCGTGCGTGAGCACTGCAAAAAGAAAAAGAAAGAAATCCGGATAACCCATATGCAGGTGGTTTCGCTGCAAGATTTACCATGAGCTCAACAAAAAAGAAAGTTAACTTAGTTTGCACTGAAGGCGAAGGACTAAAAGACAGTGGAGCTGATGAGCAACTTCGCACCCAGTAGTCTTCTTTTCTTATTTTCGTTCCTGTTTTCTTTCTTTTCTTATCCTAATTTTCTTGCTTTTTTTTTCCTTATCTCCATTTCTGCTGCTTCCTCTTTCCATCCTCCTTCTGTCTCTATTTGTTTAATTATATTTCTTTGATTCTCGTTCTGTATCGTTCATATCAATGGTGCTCGACCATGAATGTTTCAGCTACCCCTTGCAGGAAACAGGTGCTCTTATTTCTCCCTGGTAAGCAAGGGTCAAACTGAAGGGTCACGCTCATTCGACTACAACTGCTTATCAATCAGTTGTGTGATCTGCGGACACGTTTGCCTGTTTCTATAGCTATGCTCGCGTGTCAAGTATGCAAGCCCGAAAAACGCACGATCGTTGCCTGTTTCGTACAACACTGCAGCGAAACATTTTAAAGCAATCTCACGGTGGAGAAACAAAAGTCTGCTACGTCGCAATGCAAATCCCTCACGCGAAGAATCATTCTTAACGTCAGAAGAGGCTGCTGTCGCGGGACAATGTGCGTAAAAAATAAATAAATAAATGCCAAAAAGATTATTTCTTTTTTTGTTTTGTTTTCAGGCACGGGTTTTGCAAGCATCCAAAATTGACCTCGCGGGGCCCCGTAGGAGTCCCGGACCCCCGTTTTGGAAAGAATGCTATCATTTGCTTTCCCCGTTTTTTTTTTCTTTTTGGCATCTCATCTAACCTTCTAATCCTTGTCCTAACTCCTTGATATACGATACTGTACTAGGCTACGCTAAAGTCCGTCAGTGTGCCTCGATGGTGGAGCCTTCTCGCAATCCTTTTTCGCCAAGTAATTATTTTTCCTCGCCGTCTACATGCCGAACAAATCGGCGTACGTGCTATGGGAGCGAGGCAGAAGATTCAGCAGATGCTTCTCTCTACTCTGCTCTTAAAATAATGTTATTCGAGAATTGTACACGTATGAAAATTTCAGTTGGGCTTTTCTAAAATGGACGCGTACCGAAATGTATGGAAGCCTCATTGCGCATAAGGTCCAAACTTCATAAACGCGAAAATGCACGTGACAGCGACGTAGATCGTCTTCGCGCGATCAGTCGCTAGAGCAGGCAAACCTCATTCACGCGACGGCTTCGGCGAGCGAACTCCACTGTTGCTGGCGTGAGGCCGTCTACTCGCACCAAGAAAACCGCGTAGTGAGCGGTATGCAATTTAAAAATAAGATATATTGTTGTGTAATGGAACGGAAAGTGTTTATGAGTGCCTTGCAGCACTTTTTTTATATGCGCATGCGTAAAAATTGCGTTATTTCTTGTTGCGCATACGTGCTTCGGGCAGGGTCACGTGCACCTATGTAGTCTTTGTCTTTTCCGGTTTTTCGCTATTGGCTGCTTGAGCCCAGCACTTCCGGGCGATGAGCGACGGTTTCCAAATCTGGAGAACCGAGCGATCGCGCAAAAACGAGCACGCGACACGTTGCGCGAACGCCCCGTTTCGTCGCCCATAGCATCGCTCGTCGCTGTCGCGTGCATTTTCGCGCTTATGAGGTTTGCTCTTAAAGGCATAGGTCGCGCCCATGCCGAGGGTCTCGTACTGCTAGGCCATCTGCGAGTCGCGCAGTTATTTCGTGCGAGGATAAGCATACGTGTGTCGAGTTGTTCGCACGATGTATCAAGTTTACGATTATTTACCCATAAATGGGCTTTAATTTGAGAATGAGTTTGTTATCGCGTCAATGAAATATTGTCACGATAACGTCGTTGGAATGAAAATACCATGTCGCTAATACACAGCTTAATTCTTCCGTCATAAATACCAAATCAGTTCTAATATACCTGAATTATTCGTGCGCAGCACGACTTCCTAATAAATATCCCAGGAGCCCCCAGGTGAACAAATCAACTACGATAATGTCCGCTTTAAGCGGCTGGTGTCGACTCTAGCTGCGAGTCGGAAACAGGTCCTGTCCGCAGCGCGCCCGCTCGTCCAATCGCAGCACTGCAGAAGAAGCCATGGCCAAGTCTCGGTGGACTTCGCAGCTCGGTGCACGGTTGCTGCAATCGCAACGCCTCAGTGCGCACCGACCGTTCGAGCCTCAGCAGGAGCAGGCGGTGGGCGCATCGAACGCTTGGCGGCGCAAGAGTCTTCCTTAGGCGTTCCAAGAGACCAGGTGTCAGGCAGCAACAGCGCGCCGAAATCAGCGAGAGCCGCTTATAGGCTTAGCAGTGCCATCCTTGCCACAGTGCTTCCTCCTAGACCAGCGAAGCGGAAGAGAGGCCTCAGTACCGGCTTTGATGGCGCGCCCAGCCTACCGCAGAAGTCGACCACAAACACTGCCGCTCCACTGGTGTCGGTGGGGAAAACTTCGACGCTGTACGTGAACAGGAGCATGACGAACTGGTTGACCAGGACTCCTGTCAGGGCGTACAGGAAGATGGCGGCGTTGTCGTGGTATCCACGCACCGCCAGCATTACGGCGGCCATTCGGGCCATGAGGCTCAGCAGGCAAAGCAGAAGCCACAGGGCAGACCGCCGACCCAGGCGCCATACGGAGAGGTAAGTGGCCACGGAACTAGGTATCTTGAGCATGACCGTGGCCGATTTGAGCCAGAAAACTTCCGCACTGCCACCGCTGAAGCGGGCGCGCATCGTGACATGGCTGTAGTACGAGAGCTGCGCGCTGAGCAAGCACCAGTAGAAGACGGCGACGAAGAGACGTAGAAGACGCGACTGAAGTGTCCGGCAGCAGCCGCTATTCTGGGGCATCCGCATGTGCCAGACCTTCGGGAGGGCTTTCGGCGAGCCTGTGAGGTGTGCAAACGCCAGTCCACGAGCGCGTCATGCAGGCAGCTGTCGCGTCTAAGCCTCGCCGTCAGGAACGTGGCTTTATCGGCCCACGACACTTCCACCATCGTGAGCAGACGCCGCCCAGACTCCTTCGCCACGTAGACGACTACGAGGCGTAACAGGGTCGTTGGCAGCTTGACGACCACCTGCGTCGCAACCCAGGAACGACTCAGCTCGGTCAGGGCGTACACAAATACTGGACTGAGTGTCAGGCAGAGGCCCGTCGCTGCGACGCAGTATAGAGTGCGCCTAGTCCGATCTTTCACCTCGAACAGGACGAGGTACGTGGTCAGCTGCAAACGACAGACGAAGGCAGCAACGCCGAAGCGGAGCGCCGCGAACGTCAGAAACGTGTCAGTGGAGCAGACACCCATGCGACAGCCTATAAGACCGAACGTCGTGATCAGGGTGACCTGTAGTCGACCCACCTTGTCGGTGACGTGACCGGTGACCAAGGATTCGAGCGCCGCCCCCCACATGTGGACGGCGAACGAGGCCGGCTGTAGCCATCCACGTTCGGAGGCCAGGTTCCAGTCACCGATGACGGTGCAGCTGTAGGAGGAGGCGTCGTGGACGACAGAGTCGCGGGGCAGCGTATACCGGTTGGCCGTCAGGACGGAGATCGGTGGCACGAAACGCTCGCAGCACCGAGGTTGTCCCGGGTCGTGCTCGAGTTCGCTTACCGAGCGCCACTGGGCCAGAGTCGGGTCGGAGTACTCGGCCGGTGGTCGGCACTTGTGGTCGACGTGCGGGGCGGCAACGTTGTGCAGGTGGTTGTGGCACAGCATGACGAAACGGGCGCACGTCACGCTGAACAGGGCTTCGAGTTCGTAGCGGCCATCTCCGAGCATGTGTTCCAGGTCTTCCGAGAGCACGCTGTGCTTCGAGAAGTTGGTGTGGTCGTCGTTATCGGAGACTTCCATCGGGTTGAGGTGGTCCCTCGGAGGGATCTCATAAAAAGGACAGTCTTCGTGCTCCGCCTTGGCGATGATGACCTCGCACGAAGTGTCTCTAAAAGCGTGTCCAACACCTGGAGGCCCCGAGGTGGCTGCCTGATCGTCAAGTCTTCGCCTGAACGAACCAAAGTGCGAAGAAGGTCGATGATGTGCGGAGCATGCCCCGGCACGCGGGTTCGAACGTTGGCTCGTCATGACGTGGAATGGAACGTCGCGATGTCGAGGCTCGCTTATAAAGCCTGTCGTCTTTTTCGTCGTTCTCGGTGTCTTAGGTTCGCGTGATCTCGCGCTCGGTCTGCGCGTTCCGGTTGGTCCAATCGGTGCAACTTGAAGTTTAGAGCAAATAAAGTATAACAGCGAACAATATTGAACAAGGATGACGAAGAAATAAAACACCACGCGACAAGCGCTGACATCACTACGAGTAAACGATGTTCTTGCTAAATTACTGTCTCACTAATTTTCTTCTTTTTTTCTGCAAACTTGATATCGGCATTTCAAATCAAAATTAAGTTACAAAAAATTTGTAGGAATTACGCAATGCTGAAAGTATAGGGCAAACTCACCTTATAATCGGCCAATCCCCTTCTTTGGGTACGAGCCATTTTCACAGGGAAACAACAACAACAACAACAAGCGCTGACCGCGTTGGCTCCTCGCTACGGGCAACGGTTAGCGGGCCGGCAACGCCTTGCTTCTAGCAGTGAGACTCGGACGCAGTGGCGTTATTTTCTCTTTGGTTTTGTCACCTATAAGATCTTGGCACATAACCGCAAGGGGATTTGCCACTCTGTGCGCTTATAAAGAATAATAAAATACAATACTACCTTCAAAGGGAGAGAAAAAAAAAGTCCGAGGAGAACGAGATGTAACGTACATAAATTAAAAAGTGAAAAAGGAAAAAGGATTCGAAAAGCCTGACATAATGATGATGATGATGATGATTATGATGTTGGCCTCTGATGGATGGCGCTCACCCACAGAGGGGGATGGGCCAAGAACCGGGCGGCAGGGTACTTTAATGAAACTAAAATGAATATAAAGCCAATCTGAACTAGTAGTTTAGAAAAATACTACCAATAAAAAAATTATTGCTGAGCAAGCGGTCAAACCATCTCTCGTTTTTGACAGACATAGCTACGAATTATAAACTAAAGATCTTTAAAGGTTAGGGTTCACTAGCACAGTAATCTTTTAGTTGCGTTGATGTAATCAAACACAGTGCAGCATATATCCCTGTGGCAGTAACCAAATGAAGTTCCGCCAAGTTTTAATATTACCGGTAGATTTACTTGCATTCCTAGCCAGCCATAAAAGATCTTTTTTCTGTTATTTCGCGCTGTTATTCCCTTTCTTTTAATATGAACCAACTCGCCCTCATCAAGTTGTTGTTACTCGTGTACATAAAGTTTCATACAATAATGATATAATTATTGTATGAAACTCTATGCTCTTGAGGTTTAGCGGCTACATGCAGTAAAGACCAAGGATGCGATGAAGGACGAGAAGTTATTCTGTAATGGTCGCTCCGGCGAAAGCTTCTTTAGCAGGTCCAGTTCTCTTTATCTCTCTCTCCTTCCTGTTACGGCGTGCGTTGCTTCGGCAGGGTTCAGAAAGTCTGCATTGTCTGTGCTTACTTCAAGTCTCGATTCATCACCGGACTTTCAGCACCAACAGTTCCCTTGGAGCAGGAAATTGCGTGCAGCAGGACGGGCTGAAGTTGTGATAACCAGAATGGGCGTTGTAGAATTCCAAATCTCAATTTTTACATGCACAGAGCTGGTTTGGCAATCTCCCCTTTTTGCTCCTATTGCAACAAACACGAAACGATCGAACACTTCTTGTTGAGCAGCCGACGTTCTTTCTTACACAGAAAACGTAGTATCAAAATATATTGCGGCAATGTGGTCTACCGGTTACGTCAGCCGTTCTGTTATCATTTATGTCATCTATGCTGGGACACTTGGACAGGAATATTTTCAAAACTGTCGAAAAGTTTATATGTGACTCGAATGAATTTGGTAGGTGCATCAACTACTAAAAATTCTTTATTCAGCCTTCCTAGTCAAAAGATCTTCAGTCTCTGGGATGTTACACAAAATAGTGCAACTTAAAATGACAATCATTCATAATTAACGTACATTTAAAAAATCATGTCAAACTTTTTGGTTCTTACTAAATATTCATCGTAAAATCCGGTAGATGTGATCCAACCGACCCATGGCCGATCCACCAGAGTGGGTACGTGCCAATGTTCCAAGGAGTATGATCATCATCAACTTGTCATCTAGCGACGTTTACGCAATCATGCCATTTCTAGCGTACCTTACGGCTTCCTATTATATACTGGGTTTTGGTGTTTCTAGGCGACACTGTGGATCCTCCCGATTCCACGTAAAGGTGATATAGTAAATGTATTGACGTTTCAATTATTATTATTATTATTATTACTATTATTACTATTATTATTATTATTATTATTATTTGTCTGATCTCTTTTGTCCCTTGAAGCCTCTATTTCTGGATTCACCACTACGATAGTTTATCTTTGGCTGTGCTGAATTTTCTGAGTGAAGTAAAACGACTAACGAACACTCTACACTATTATCATATGTGTCGACTCGTGCTCAAATTTTAGTTTATTTGTTTCTTTAACAGTGTGCTGGTGTCGGTATTATCTGTTACTAAAATGAATTATGTCATGTAGATGTGAGTGATCATCGCAATTTCATACACAATTCGCAATATTTTCATTCTATGACCTCTTTTGCTTTAAAATTTTGATAGTTTATAGGACCACTCAATTTCTGTGATATCTTCCACAGTATGTGCCACAGTTATTAGGTGAACAAGAACCCTATATACAATTGTAATCTGTTGACCAATCCACAGCGTGGTGGAGCGAGCAATTTTCAAGAAGCCAGGCTGTACAATTAGTACTTCAATGTAAGCAGCCCGACACGGATGCCTTTGTTTCAAAACTTCGAACAAGAGTGGGGCTCGACAGGAGAGGCGATAATGACTATCTAATTGTTTGGGCGCCCACAAAGGCACTCGTTCTCTGGATTTCGTGCCAACTGGTTGTGCCCCCGTGATCTCCGACGACAGCGCAGCTCTTGCCGACTGGGCTCGCCCTGCGCCATCTCCTGACGCCGACAAGAGCTCTCGCCGAGTGGTGCCCCGTCCTCGGACTCCTGCGACCGTGTCCATTTTTCCTATGTTCTCCTTACTTTCGATGTCACTCCCCGGCGCCATGCTCTTTCCATCCCCCGCTCACTGTCTCTATACCTTCTATTCCTATCCTTCTAATCTCTCCTTACCCCCACGCCTCGTGAGCTACTGTGGAGGTGTCCTCCCCCTGAAAGACAGTTATGGGGCTCACTTTTCTCTTCTTTTCATTTAAGAGTCACTTCCCCCACTTGCCCCTTCACAAAGGCCTTGTCAGAAGAGACAGGAAATTAGTTCGCGATTCCGCACTCGTTCTGCTCGGTGGCCTTTGTTTCTAAGCTCCCACTCGCGATAAAGAAAGCGTCCGTGGACAGAAACTTTGCTAGAAAGAAAATCGGGGATAAAAAGAAGAGTGCGATAATGAGACTGGCTCTAGGTCTGGGTATAGTTCGTGATTATCTTACCGACAAGTAGTCGGCAGCGCGGATACGAGTGCTGACACCTAGTTCACTGTACAAATGAACATCTTGTGATGATGATGATGATGATGATTCTTGTTATTCTCGCGCACACCCACAAAGTTGGATCAGCCATGAATCACCATTACGACATTCAGAAACAGCATTTATTTCCACCCCGGAATCATTTTTTGCTGCTAGATGGCCGCGATTTCACACGCCACAAATTATATTTGTGCAACATTTACTGGAGCCTCTAACCGTACGTATATGCGACATCATGCCGAGTCGTTATAATTCAGCCCCGGTGGAAATTCAATTCGACGACATTTTACCTGATAATGCCAAATTACTTCCCCATAATATTTTGGATGGTTTAGTACAAGATCACTTGCGCCGTATTACAACGAACGTTATTATTGCTACAGACGCATCGCAACACGACGAAAAGTCGGGGGTTGGTATTTTCAGCCCAATTTTAAATTGGATTTATTCCCTTCGACTATCCGATTTCATACCCATTTTTGTGGCTGAGTTTCGGGCAGTATATAGTGCTCGCCTTACGCAAGTTAGATACAGCAATTACATCAGCTGTACTAATAACAGATTCCCTATCTCTCTGTGCAGCACTTTCTGTTGGTGCTGATAATCACGTAACAAGGGTGTTCCGTGCACTAGTATCTGTGCATTTGAGGAAAGTGCGATTACTTTGGGTGCCTGGACATAAAGGTTTGTTTCTGAATGAAATAGCCGATTTCTTAGCTAAGTCGTCAATCAGCGAACCAATTCTACCGCTCTGTCCATCATCCGCTTATGTGACTGCTCCTCGATTCCGCAGACGTACGCTTATGCAAGTCTTTAAAGGTTCAGCACTAACAAACTCTACAGAATATCGCCATTTATTATATCCCTGGCGAAGAGATTTTCGCCGCACTCGAAAACAAGAAGTAGCTATCACAAGGCTGCGTTGCCGGGTACCTAATCTAAATTTCTATAAACACAGGTCTGCTCAGGCACCTTCGCCACTGTGTGCATTCTGTGATGAACTGGAAACAATAGACCATTTCTTTTTGACCTGCAGGCGGTTTAACACATTACAAAAAACCCTATTAAAAATACCTTTGCGTGGCATTGGTATGGACTTATCTCTGCCTGTCAATTTGTCTTTTGGAGCTTCCATTTCTGGTTTCTCTAATGGCACAGTATGCGCGGCCGTCCGGGTCTATATTGATGAAACTAATAGGTTGACTAATTAACCAGTTTCATTATCTTAACATGTCCACATAAGTATATACGTATAAAATCAGATTATTCCTATATTCTAAGAATAAATTTGTTTATGTAATTATTTGTATGCATTACATTAAGCACCACACTTCCCTATAGGCTATCGTAATCTTTCTGCTATACCTCCATCATTCTAAATCTAAACAGTAAACTTTAAAGCCACTCGATTCTTGGCCAATCCCCCACAGTGGGTATGCGCCACTAACAATAGTAGAACAACAACAACAACAACAAGAACCGGGTGGCAGGATCTCCAGCAGAGTTTCGTGTCCTCGACCTCGTCTTCCTTACAAAGTGTATGGTGTATGAGGGTGTAATACCGAAGTTAGTTCTGGAAGAGAACAAGAATTAAATTTGCACAGTTTTTCTTCTCGATGTTAGAGTGTAAAGTTAACGTGGTGTATGATCTGCATAAAACTTGTTTGAGTAGCACTTGCGAGAAATGGTAGCTTGAGCAGCCGGTCGGGCCCTTCAGCCACCGTTCTTGGCGTAAAAGTATGGATAGATCCTTAATCTTCGCATTAAATGGCCACTCTTCAGGTTTGACAATTTTGAGCTGACAAAAAAAAATGCGTACACGAGGCATTCGTGATCACGTCCTCCGAAATTCGCAACGCTACGCGCCGCTAAAACGGGTCAAATATCAAGATGAACGCTTCTCTCCCTCCCTTCTGCCGGCACACGCCTAGACAATGAGGACATGAAGTGGGCGTATGAATGACCCTACGTACACGGCAATGCAATGACGTTGGTCCTCTACATAGACGACTCTGCTCTGACGTTGCCAACAGTATACCACGTGGCATGGCAAAAATTATTTAACACAACAAGCGTGGTTTCAGTATTTGTTGCTTTAAGAGAATAATAAAACATGAAATAATGAGACGCAATAACGAAATTGGCAGATCCCACGCACCGTGGGAATTGATGATATGCGAAGCATGAATGAGAAATGTTGATATGGCACTTTAAAATCAGCACAGCGTTACGAGGTAGATGTAAATGATGCCGTACACGACTTCCGTGTCACGATTATCATGTTTGGATGTCTCGTTTACCTTCGTCATCTATTCACGTCACGTGATACCAAATTTAGTATATGTGGAGCTAGCAAAACGGCCGCGAGCGCATTATGAAGGGCCCAATATACTCCAATGTAGCGTTGAAGCGCGTGCGCGCTGGGCACAGCTACGCTACGTTAGTAAAACGCGAGTACTTTCTAGTCTGACGCCAGGCGCGACCAGCGTCCGTCGGCGCGACCCGACGGCAACCGCCACGAAACGCGGCATTCTGCATTTCCCGCCGATGCGTTACCCAGACAACACGGCGTCTCCCTCGTTTCGCGACGGGGGTACGCCGGACGCTACGCAACGCACATGCGTCCCAGCTACGCAAGACGGCGCCCGCATGTGAGTATACGGCAGGACCGGCGCCTGGCGTGGCAACGCCAGCGTGACGCGACGAAATGAACGCCAGCGAGCACGCGCACCACGTCATGTCGAAATGTATTGCCGCCTTGCCTGTGGCATGTAGTCATGTTTTCACATGACACGCATCTCATGATTATGTTTGCACCCGTCACAGACCTTCGTCGTTCACCGGCGTCCCGTAATACTAAATTTGGCATATGCGAAGCTACGAAACGGTCGCGAGCGCATCATGAGTCTGGTATGTAGTCATGTTGTTACATGATATGCATGCCGTGATTATCATGTTTGGATGTGTCATTTACCTATGTCGTCCGTTCGCGTCGCGTAATACCGAGTTTGGTACATGTGAAGCTAGCGAAATGGCTACCAGCCCATCATGAGCGTGTCATGTAGTCATGTTGTTACATGACGCGCATCTCATGACTATCATGTTTGCACCAGTCACATACCTTTGTCATCCATTCGCGTACTGTAATACGAAATTTGGTATATGTGACGCTAGCGAAACGGCCGCGAGCGCATCATGAGCATGCCATGTAGTCATGTTGTTACATGACACGCATGTTGTAATTTCCATGTTAGGATCTGTCGCTTGTGTTTGCCATGCAACCATGTCAACCCACACCAGTTTTGCATTATGCCATGTGAACGAAACCACCGCAAGAGCTGCAGGTCCAGGGAATGTAAAGCATGACATTCACGACATACATGTCATTATTTTTCATATTATGACTTGTCAACTATGTTCTTGATACAGTCATGTTATGTCATACTGAGTTCGGTATTGATACCATAATCGAAACGGCCAGGAGAGCTAAAGGTCGTAGGCGGACAGACAGACAGACAGACAGACAGACAGACAGACAGACAGACAGACAGACAGACAGACAGACAGACAGACAGACAGACAGATAGATAGATAGATAGATAGATAGATAGATAGATAGATAGATAGATAGATAGATAGATAGATAGATAGATAGATAGATAGATAGATAGATAGATAGATAGATAGATAGATAGATAGATAGATAGATAGATAGATAGATAGATAGATAGATACGCTCAATCTCGCCGAAGTTCGCCAACAAATGCTTCGCATTTAATAAATAAAAAAACAGAAAAATTATTTAGTTTTGCAAGCACGGCTTTTGCAAACATCCAAAATTGACCTCGCGGGGCCCCGTAGCAGCCCCGGCCCCAGTTTTGGAAATGATGCTATCATTTGCTCCCTTCCTTTTTTTCCTCTTGACATCTCGTCTCGCCTTCTGTTCCTTGTCCTAACTCCTTGCTATACGATACTGTACAATGCTACGCTAAATTCAGTGAGTGTGCCTCGATGGTGGAGCCTTCTCGCAATCCCTTTTCGTCAACTCATAATTTTTCCTCCCCGTCTACATGCCGAACAAATCGGCGCACGTGCTATGGGAGCGAGGCAGAAGATTCAGTAGATGCTTCTCTCTACTCCGCTCTTAATATGCATGCTATTCGATAAATGTCCGCGTATGAAAATTTCAGTCGTGCTTATCTAAAATGGACGTGTACCGAAATGTATGGAAGCCTCATTGCGCATAAAGGTATAGGTCGCGCCCATGCCGGGGGTCTCGTACTGCTAGGCCTTCTGCGAGTCGCGCAGTTATTTCGTGCGAAGATAAGCATACGTGTGGAGTTGTTCGCACGATGTATTAAGTTTGAGATTATCTACCAACAAATGGGTTTCAATTCGAGAACGAGTTTGTTATCGCGTCAATGAAGTATTGTCACGATAACGTCGTTGAAATGAAAATACCATGTCGCTAATACACAGTTTAATTCTTCCGTCGTAAATACCAAATCAGTTCTAATATCTTTGAATTATTCGTGCGCAGCAAGAGTTTCTAATAAATATCCCCGGAGCCCCCAGGTGAACAAGTAAACTATGATAATGTCCGCTTTAAGCGGCTGGTGTCGACTCTAGCTGCGAGTCGGCGACAGGTCCTGTCCACAGCGCGCCTGTTCGTCCAATCGCAGCACTGCAGGAGAAGCCATGGCCAAGCCTCGGGGGACTTCGCGGCTCGGTGCACGGTTGCTGCAATCGCAACGCCTCAGCCCGCACCGACAGTTCGAGTCTCAGCAGGAGCAGGTGGTGGGCGCATCAAACGCTTGGCTGCGCAAGAGTCTTCCTTAGGCGTTCCAAGAAACCAGGTGTCAGGCAGCAACAGCGCGCCGAAATCAGCGAGAGCCGCTTATAGGCTTAGCAGTGCCATCCTTGCCACAGTGCCTCCTCCTAGACCAGCAAAGCGGAAGAGAGGCCTCAGTACCGGCTTTGACGGCGCGCCCAGCCTACCGCAGAAGTCGACCACAGACACTGCCGCTCCACTGGTGTCGGTGGGGAAAACTTCGACGCTGTACGTGAACAGGAGCATGACGAACTGGTTGACCAGGACTCCTGTCAGGGCGTACAGGAAGATGGCGGCGTTGTCGTGGTATCCACGCACCGCCAGCATTACGGCGGCCATTCGGGCCATGAGGCTCGGCAGGCAAAGCAGAAGCCACAAGGCAGACCGCCGACCCAGGCGCCACACGGAGAGCTAGGCGGCCACGGAACTAGGTATCTTGAGCATGACCGCGGCCGATTTGAGCCAGCAACTTTCCGCACTGCCACCGCTGAAGCGGGCGCGCATCATGACATGGCTGTAGTACGAGAGCTGCGCGCTGAGCAAGCACCAGTAAAAGACGGCGACGACAAGACGTAGAAGACGCGACTGAAGTGTCCGGCAGCAGCTGCTATTCTGGGCCATCAGCATGTGCCTGACCTTCTGCAGGGCTTTCGGCCGAGCCAGTGAGGTGGGCAAATGCCAGTCTGCGAGCGCGTCGTGCAGGCAGCTGTCGCGTCTAAGCCTCGCCGTCAGTAACGTGGCGTTATCGGCCCGCGACACGTCCACCATCGCGAGCAGACGCCGCGCAGACTCCTTGGCCACGTAGACGACGACGAGGCCTAACAGGGTCGTGGGCAGCTTGTCGATCGCCTGCGTCGCAACCCAGGAACGACTCAGCTCGGTCAGGGCGTACACTATGACTGGACTGAGTGTCAGACAGAGGCCCGTTGCTGCGACGCAGCATAGAGTGCGCCTGGTCCTAGCTGTCACCTCGGACAGGACGAGGTACGTGGTCAGCTGCAAGCCGCAAACGAAGGCAGCAACGCCGAAGCGGAGCGCCGCGAACGTCAGAAACGTGTCAGTGAAGCAGACACCCATGAGACAGCCTAGAAGACCGAACGTCGTGATCAGGGTGACCTGTAGTCGACCCACCTTGTCGGTGACCTGACCGGTGACCAAGGATTCGTCGAGCGCCGCCCCCCACATGTGCACGGCGAACGAGGCCGGCCGTAGCCATCCACGTTCGGAGGCCAGGTTCCAGTCGCCGATGACGGTGCGGCTGTGGCAGGAGGCGTCGTAGACGACACAGTCGCGGGGCAGTGTGTACCGATTGGCCGTCAGGACGGAGAGCGGTGGCACGAAATCCACGCAGCACCGAGTTTGTCCCGGGTCGTTCTCGAGTTCGCTTAGCGAGTGCCACGGGGTCAGAGTCGGGTCGTAGTACTCGGCCGGTGGTCGGCACCTGTGGTCGACGTGTGGGGCGGCGACGTTGTGCAGGTGGTTGTGGCACAGGATGACGAAACGGGCGCACGTCACGCTGAACAGGGCTTCGAATTCGTAGCGGCGATCTCCGAGCATGTGTTCCAGGTCTTCCGAGAGCGCGCTGTGCTTCGAGAAGTTGCTGCGGTCGTCGTTATCGGAGACTTCCATCGGGTTGAGGAGGTCCCTCGGAGGGATCTCATAAAAATGACAGTCTTCGCGCTCCGCCTTGGCGATGATGACCTCGCACGAAGTGTTCCTAAAAGCGTGTCCAAGAGGCCCCGAGGTGGCTGCCTGGTCGTCAAGTCTTCGCCTGAAAGAACCAGAGTGTGAAGAAGGCTGATGATGTGTGGAGCATGCCCCGGCACGCGGGTTCGAACGTTCGCTCGTCATGACGTGGAATGGAACGTGGCGATGTCGAGGCTCGCTTATAAAGCCTGTCGTCTTTTTCGTCCTTCTCGGTGTCCTAGGTTCGCGTGATCTCGCACTCGGTCTGCGCGTTCCGGTTGGTCCAATCGGTGCAACTTGAAGTTTAGAGCAAATAAAGTATAACAGCGAACAATAACGAACAAGGCCGACGAAGAAAAAAAACACCACGCGACAAGCGCTGACATCACTGCGAGTAAACGATTTTCTTGCTAAATTACTGTCTCACTATTTTTCTTTTCTTTTTCTGCAAACTTGATATCGGTATTTCAAATCAAAATTAAGTTATAAAAAAATTTGTAGGAATGACGCAACGCTGAAAGTATAGGGCAAACTCGCCTTATAATCGGCAAATCCCCTTCTTTGGGTACGAGCCATTTTCACAGGGAAACAACAACAACAACAACCGCTGACCGTGTTGGCTCCTTGGCTCCTCGCTACGGGCGACGGATAGCGGGCCGGCAACGCCTTGCTTCTAGCTGTGAGACTCGGACGCAGTGGTGTTTTTTTTCTCTTTGGTTTTGTCACCTATAAGATCTTGGTACATAACCGCAAGAGGATTTGCCACTCTGTGCGCTTATAAAGAATAATAAAATACAATACTACCCCAAAAAATAGAAAAATAAAAGTCCGAGGAGAACGAGATGTAACCTACATAAATTAAAAGTTGAAAAAGGAAAAAAGGATTCGAAAAGCCTGACATAATCATGATGATGATGATGATGATGATGATGATGATGGCCTCTGACGGATGGCGCTCACCCACAGAGGAGGATGGGCCAAGAACCAGGCGGCAGGATACTTTAATGAAACTAAAATGAAAATGAAGCCAATCTGAAAAAGTAGTTTAGAAAAAATACTACCAATAAACAAAAATGATTGCTGAGCAAGCGGTCAAACCATCTCTTGTTTTTGACAGACATAGCTACGGAATATAAACTAAAGATCTGAAAAGGTTAGGGTTCACTAGCACAGTAATCTTTTAGTTGCGTTGATGTAATCAAACACAGTGCAGCATATATCCCTGTGGCAGTAACCAAATCATGTTCCGCCAAGTGTAATATTACCGGTAGATTTACTTGCATTCCTAGCCAGACATAAAAGATAAAAAAAGAGGGCGTCTTCGTCACCTTTGTTCTGTTATTTCGCGCTGTTATTCCCTTTCCTTTAATATGAACCAACTCGCCCTCATCAAGTTGTTGTTACTCGTGTACATAAAGTTTCATACAGTAATGATATAATTATTGTATGAAACTCTATGCTCTTGAAGTTTAGCGGCTACATGCAGTAAAGACCAAGGATGCGATGAAGGACGAGAAGTTATTCCGTAATGGTCGCTCTGGCGAAAGCTTGCTTAGCAGGTCCAGTTCTCTTTCTCTCTGTCCTTCCTGTTACGGCGTTTGTTGCTTCGGCAGGTTTCAGAAAGTATGCATTGTCTGTGCTTACTCTAAGTCTCGATTCATCACCGGACTTTCAGCACCAACAGTTCCCTTGGAGCAGGAAAGTGCGTGCAGCAGGACGGGCTGAAGTTGCGATAACCAGAATGGGCGTTGTAGAATTCCAAATCTCAATTTTTACATGCACAGAGCTGGTTTGGCAATCTCCGCTTTTTGCTCCTATTGCAACGAACTTGAAACGATCGAACACTTGTTGTTTAGCTGCCGACCTTTTTTTTCATTACGCAAAAAAACGTAGTATCGAAATTACATTGCGGCAATTTGGTCTACCGGTTACGTCGGCCGTTCTGTTATCATTTGTGTCATCTGAGCTGGGACACTCGGACAGGAATATTTTCAAAGCTGCCGTAAAGTTCATATGCTACTCGAATAGATTTGGTCGGTGTATCAACTACTGAAAATTCTTTATTCAGCCTTCCTGGTCAAGTGATCTTATGGCTCTGGGAGGTTACACAAAATAGTGCAACTTGACATAATAATCATCCCTAATTAAGGTTACATTGAAAATCCATCTCAAAATTTTTAGTTCTTACTAAATATCCATCACAAGCTCCAGTGGATATGATCCACCTGACTCATGGCCGATCCCTTCGAATGGGTAGGTGCCGATGTTTCAAGGAGCATCATCATCATCAACTTGTCATCTAGCGACGTTTACGCAATCATGCCATTTTTAGCGTACCTTAAGGCTTTCTATTATATACTGAACTTTCGTGTTTCTAGGCGAGACTGTGGAACCACCCGATTCTACGCAAAGGTGATATAGTAAATGTATTGATGTTTCATTTAATAATAATAATAATAATAATAATAATAATAATAATAATAATAATAATAATAATAATAATAATAATAATAATAATATTGCCACGCTGTGTTGGTGGCAGAAGACGAGAGCGAAGAAGTGAATGGCAGCTGTGGCTGAGTAAACAGTCCTCCTCTTCGAGTTCCTGCCTATCGTTTCCTCTCGCGAGAGACTGGTGGACGTGCTGGGTACTGTACTGCAACGTCTTATGCCTGCTGGTCCTGAACCAGAAGCAACCACCGCCAGTGCACCAGGGTCTGCTGACATCTATCGAAGCAGCCGCCGCCTTCAAGGACTACCACCACAGTACGGCCCCTTGGCAAGTTCCGTGAGGACAATTTTTGCCACATCCGCAACCCAAACTGAGCATGACCCACTCGCTAGCGTACCCTGTGTCATCAACACGCCTCGCACACCCAATCCATTCCATGGTGATACCAGTGAGGATGTCGAACACTGGCTTGATCATTTAGACCGGGTCGCTGCCATCAATGACTGGGACAATCGCCGTAAGTTGAAGAACGTGTATATCTCCCTCTTAGACGCGGCAAGAGTGTGGTATGAGAACCACGAAACGTCATTCACAAGTTGGCAGAAATTCCATCGGCAGCTTCGCGAGGCGTTCAGTAACCCCGAACGGAAAGAAAGAGCGGAGCAGGCACTTTCTTCGCGATTTGAAATGCCGAATGAGAGCGTCGCCATGTTTGTCGAATAGATGTGAAGAAATGTCGAAGAAATGAAGGAGCAACTTTTCGCGGGCCTTGTGGGCAACCCTCCTACGACTGTGTCCGAGTTCATACGTGAGGCCATAATTATGGAGCGCATGCTTCGGCAGCGGGTGTCGCAGTATGAGCGTCAGACGGCCATGTCTGACGCTCATATGATCTGCTGCGTGCTCGCTTGTACCAGGAGGTGATAACAGGGAGGACCTCACAGAACTCAGACGGTAAATTGTACGCGAAGAACTTCGGAAATTTCATGCAGCTCCCCTCCCAGTAGCGCTGCTCTTACGGACGTCGTTCGTAACGAAATCAGGCAGTTCGTTCACTTCTCACCACCATCGCAAGTCGAACCTTCCACGCTTTCCTACGCGGATGCCCTACGCGCCTCTACGCCGTCGAGGGCACATTTTGCTCATCGACCTACTGGGACCCCCAGACGCTTTCCAAGTCCAGCCCATCGCCTGCCTTCTC